GACCTGGCCTTCACAATTTTGGTGAACCAATGGGGCACTAGAATTTGGTTACAGTACGATTACGATCACAGTACGGTACCATCCGTTTCCCACTCATACGAAATCCGCTCTATACACCTGTGAATGCTAGAAAGGTGGAATGTATATTAATCATGCCAAAACAGGCCGTAGCCTTTAGACAGTATGTGACCATTAACTAATTTTTAATTCATCACTTTAATTCAAGACATCGCTTATCTCTTATGTAAGAAAATTTACAAGGTTATATCAAACAWTATTTATACCAAATTTAGAAGTGTATGCATGCTYCAGTCGTCCAGTTCACTATTTTCTAGTCATGATTAATTTCTATAAGAACCTTTCTAAGAACTTGTTTCAATATTTTAGGCTAAATAGGTTCTTATGTAAATGGATCTATTTTGATATTTTTAGGCTAACAGGTTCTTAAATTGCAGGTTCTTATAAGCGGGTAAGTACTGTATAACTTTAGGGATAATAAAGAGTACGTTTTTGCTTATATTACGATGTAAGTTCACGTGTGTTTACATTTATTACAAACATGAGCAAAAGCTCGAAAGGGATGCTTGTGGACTTTYCCTGTAAGATTAGAGTTAAGGTCAATTGTAGGATTAGTTTTAGGGCTAGGATTCGGTGTTTATTGTCGTTTTTAGTTGCTTGTTTTGACAGAATGTCAATGTGAGTTTGACGAAAAATAGCCCCTAACCTACTTAACCTCCTATATACGGCCTTGTTACTTCCCTGACAGTATYAACTGAAATTTAAAGGAATGGAGGTTAATAAGTGAGAACTTAGAAGAATAACTACACGTASGGTAACATTTAATTAATGCAGACGTGGAGAGCTATTTCTTACTTTGACCTCATAAGTACGTCGTACTCACAGGTAGCTATAAACAACTAAGTTGATAGTGCTGTACTAAACATAATGGTATAGGAAAATGCTGAATCGTAGCCAACACTAATTTTAAACACATTAGTCAAATCAAACAATACTGTTTGCTCGTCCAAGCTGATGGCAATCAAAAATGGACGCGGTTTTYGCCTCTTGAAGTCAAATTAGAATACAAACATGACGGACGATTTTTACTCTCTCGATTATTTTAATTGAAATGATTTTATAATTTATTAAAATTATTTATTTAAAACTATTTATTAAAATCATTTTAGTTATAATCTGTGGGTTGAAAATCGTAGCCCAGCCTAATTTGATCCATAACCTTGACACTGTACCACATTACGCGTGATAAACCCCTTAGGCCCGTTTTCAGAACTACTGCTGTGCGAAAACCGCGCAACAATAGCATGATATCACTATAACGCGATATGACTTTAACGCGGAACACTTATGTAATGGCCCTTTCCCAAGAGATTGGTTCTGCAAAACCAAAGCGAGGATTTGGTTAGGTCACCAAATTTTCTCGTGTTCAAAATAACTGTACAAAATTGCTGCGCAAGCAACATTGAAGCAAGAAAGTTATGATCTTTGATGGCTGAAAAGTGTTTACAAATTCATGCCATTTTCATTTAGATTCTATTTCTGTCGAATGCTATTTAGGCACTGCATCCACAGTTTTCATAACGATTTTTTTTTGATAATTCCTAAATAGGCATTACAAAGTCGAATTCAATTTTTGGATTTTTTGCTTGCTCAGCAAATTTCTTCATCCATTTTGTGATCACGCGGGAGTGTTACGACCTAGCCAAAGAATAGCTTTGGTTCTGACACTGTGCTGATAACATCACATCTCGCGCGCGTGCTTAGTCAAAGAAAATATTTTTTTGATAATTTTCAGCCTTGAATGTGGTAAAAAAATGCACATGTACGCTTTTGAATTGTTGTTCTCTTATTGACGTACTCTTGACGTCAGTTAAAATGTTCAAAACTCAAGCGGATCCACAAGTTTAAAATGCACGCGCTGATACAAACGCAAAGTGCAAGAAAATGAAAAAAAAGTTAAGATTTGTTGCATTTGTGTTGTGCATTGCTACACATGTGAAGGCCTTACATGCAAAACCGGTTTTGTTATACGCTTTAGGAATTTAGCTTATGGAATAAATTTGGAGCTSTCCGTCAGTTTTTCTTAGTTTGTGCATTAAGATCCATTAAGGGTTGTAAAGGGAGGAAGTAGGAGAAACGACGGAGAAACGATTAGTGTGAAGGTAGGTAAAGAAATCAAAGCAAAAAATAATAATAAAAAAAAATGAAATAAAAAGAACAATAAAAAAAAGGAAATATATATCAACTGCTGCACAGTGCACGGCTACAGGCCACGAATTTTCATTTTCATCTTTTTTCTAAAGAAAATAATAGCGATAACAAAATAAAAGTGTAAGATAAGGTAAAAGACAAAACAAATCAAAATACACAGCAAATCAAAATCCTCGGTAATAGTTCGTAATCTGCAGACAAAATGTGTTATTGACTCAATGAAGTGACTCCCAGCAGGGAATCGCCACGCATTCGTGAGCGCAGAATGAAAKATCTTTCTTCGCCAGTGATTTTATAAGCTGACCCAACAACAAAACACAAGTTCAGAGTCAAATGACGTAATATATTCGCAAAAGAAAACACGGCTTCACTTTGCGCAGACGTAGTATTGATTACGGGAAAGAAAGACAGTAGACGACTCTTTTGCGTTGAGTAAAAATTATTGACGTACTCTGACTMATGTTTACGTAATGAAACGGCTAGTATCAAATAATATGCTATTCACCTAAAGCTGCTATCCAATCTTAAGTACGGAAACATATGCAAGTATTTGCGTAAACGACGGGCAACGCTAGTTCAATACGGTTCTCAYGCGCGGCGTAAAAAGTAGTGGCATCCTAAATCAAGTTCACGTTACGGTCAAAAAATATGCAGTACAAATATAACGTGCGAGCACAGTAATTACGCAAAAGAAACGCAGCAAACGTCTCTCTTGATTAACGCAAAAACGTTCTAACGACTCTCTTGATTTGCGTGTTAAAACACATTCGACRACTTGACTGTAAAGATTCACGTAACKATCCGCCGTAAAATATGCTCTTAAAATAACGCGGCACTGCRTCATAAATYGTAGAAATTGCGCAAAAAAGAMTTCACAAGGCTCTCAATCTTGTGTGGTTTAAAAACAACTTACCATGTATAACGCAGCACCACATGCGAAACGTATAGTAATTACGTAAAAGAAAAGGATAGTAAACTGCACACTGCACGTTTTAAAACGGCTAACGTGACATTGTGACTCGCCTATACACGTAACGATCTGAAAAAGATGCCATTCAAATAGCGCACCATGACATACGCAGTAATTTTTCGCAAAATAAAAGGAATCAAACAGCWCTTCTGCGCATATTTAAAACTGCTCATTCTTACGTAACGTAACGATCCAAAAATTATTGCAGTACAACGTACGAAACGTAGTAATTACGTGCGTAAAAGAAAAGGAATTAAACGGTAACTGCGCGTATTAAAAACTGCTTGCGTTCTTACTTAACCTAACGATCCAAAAATTATGCTCTTCAAATAGCCCCGTACTACATACGAAACGTAGTAATTACGTACGCAAAGGAAAAGGAAACAAACGGCAACTGCGCGTATTAAAAACTGCTTGCGTTCTTACTTAACGCGAACGATCCAAAATTTATGCCCTTCAAATAGCGCAGTACTTCATACGAAACGTAGTAGTTACGTACGCAAAGGAAAAGGAAACAAACGGCAACTGAGCGTATTAAAAATGTTTGTGTTCTTACTTTAACGCAACGATCCAAAAACGATGCTCTTCAAATAGCGCAGTACTACATCCGAAACGTAGTAATTACGCACGCAAAAGAAAAGAAATCAAGCTGCGCGTATTAAAAACTGCTTGCGTTCTTACTTAACGTAACGATCCAAAAGTTATGCTCTTCAAATAGCGCAGTACTACATACGAAACGTAGTAATTACGCACGCAAAAGAAAAGAAATCAAGCTGCGCGTATTAAAAACTGCTTGCGTTCTTACTGAAGCTAACGTAACCTAAATTAAGTATCCAATAGTGCGCTATTCAATTATTAATCGTTTTCGTGACAACGATTCTGTTCTGTTATCATCGATCGCATCGAAGTGCTAATTAATAACCATTAGCACTTATCGATTACAAAGAACCTGACAGACAAATGTGTGAAAAGAGTCCTACTCCGCACCATAGGTGCGACCATCGCTCATTCAACTCTATCAGCCACACGATAGGAGAACGTTTGCATGTATGCTGAAGTGTCGGTGGACTAACKTTACGAGGATAAATACAAATAGCCAGACGCTAATCGACCTTTTATACCGACAAACGACTTATCTCTGTACAATCTATTGTTAAGGGTGCCCTTCTAATCCTTTCATTGAATGATCTGGGGTGATATCTTGCACACTTGCTTTGTAGAACGGCCGACATTGAAATGGATGATTTTGAGAAGGCTATCTCTCTACTCAGTTGTCAGTAAACTGAGTACGTTAAAAACTTGCCGACATCTTTAGAATTGTGTCCATTAGTGCAACTATCGAGTTTGGAGCAATAAGGTAAATTCCGGGGGTAAAATTCCGGATGTGTACCCGAAAGAAAACTATTTTATTTGATTTCCTGTTAGCCATTTTGTCTCCGTTGGGAGTACAAACCTAACATAGCTCTGTCACTAAGTAGTTTTGCCTTAGTACCGATGTGTAGACAATAGTATTCACTTATAAGATAGAAGTTTAAAGTGAGGCTAATGAGCCAGACAGGTTTGGACGCTCTCATTGGTTCACAAGCTGTGACAGAGCGGAAACCCTTCGACTTCAGGCTTCCGTTCGCATGTATATAACCCAAGAACAAATGTTTCTMTCCGCCGCTGCCTTAAGAACCCCGTATTGATAACAGACCACTTAATGTCATTCGAATTATTGTACTTTAATTTCATATCAGATGACAAACCTTGAAGTGACTCATTGAACGGCCAACACATGTTGCGGAGGGAGGTCGAAGGACGCCAGTCATTTCCAACACTTCACGATCGTTCGGCAATGAGAGAACAACAAGAACAACATCTCAATGGACTCCATATAAATGAACTTTCTCTACCAAGACGACATAGTAGCTTAGCGTCTAGTAGTTCAACAAGAGCAGAGAAAACAGGGAGAAGTACTAGAAGTAATAGTGTAAGCAGCTCGAGTAGTCTACCACTGCAAATGCCGTCCAACCGTCCTATAGACCTGTCAAGAAGACGATCAAGTATCACCAAGTCGACCATAAAAGAGAGAAAGGAGTCTTCCARCAGTTCGTCTTCAGAGCAGTATTCTTTTGTAGTGCTTGGTGTTGGAGGAGTAGGCAAAACAGGTAAACTTTTACCATATATTATGTATTTACCTTTAGAATTATACTTTAGTAATTGTTTTAATTAAAATTTAGCTAACAGTGATAATGATAAGCCATGAATTTTAAGAATAGTTCTTGCTTCTTGAAATGACTCGAGTTGAAATGGGCACAGCAGAAGTCAATTTATGTAGTAGTCAAAACGCTCAGGGTTTCTCAGTCGTCGTAGTAATACTGCATGCTTCAATGACCYATGTTGATGAACTCTATAACTTTAGCAAGCACGTACCTGCGTTCAGCGTGGGCTGTCTTATTCTCTAAATTTGTTTACTTTTAAAACAAGAAATTCAGCAAGAAAAATCCAATGTTAAACTTCTTGGGATCCTTGGCTGAAACGCTTAGAGCGCAATCGCCAATTAACACTTTTGGGTATGAAATTTTACACTTAATAACTTAATGTAATTAACGTTTATGTAGTGTGAGGTTTTTTATAATGCTTAAATGTTGTAAAAGTGATTAAGTTTATAGTTTTATTATTCGAGCGTTTGTAATTATATATAAATATCATTGCAAGTTMGATTAAATAATTCGATATATAGTTTTCTTAAACATTGCGAGTCGATGAACTCATTTTAAAAATGTGTGCAATTTAACACGGTTTTGTACAAAKCTTTTCGGATTTATTCTTTATAAAGAATAGGTCATTCTAATTCTCTCACCTCTCYTAATGCCTAACAATTAAGAAATAATCTGCAGAAACTGATAACTGCCCACATTGGACGAAACGTTGTCATTAATTAGAGCATAAATCGATATATTACAGTCATTTTTCTTCAATTCTCAAACATGTTTAAAAATATCTTGTCACARCCACAACGCATCTAGACCATTAAAACATCAATTGTAGCTTAAAACCWGGTCTTTTCTTCTTCTTAATCTCTCACATCGACGTGGATTAYATTCTCTTTCTTTAACCTTCACTCTAAGTCCACTAATTAAAGCACTCAAGCCAAAAAAACTCGCCAAGGCTTTATCGTAACGTCAGTCAAAGATGAAAGAAAAGGAACATAGAAGATTGATTGTAATGAAMTATATATTGATTTTGGTTGATTGTTTAACTATGGCTCAAAATGATTGACGGATCGTTCTCTCTTTTTTTTTAGCCCTTATAGTTCGATATGTGACTGGTCGGTTTCTCCACGARTATGACCCTACTTTGGGTAAGTCTTAATAATAGAACAGCTCACTTTATTTCTATTACCTAATATGTTATAAGATTAGAAATATTTTTCTTCGCAGTGGGGTATAATTTTCCATGCATAGTGCATCATGCGTATATTAATAGAGCTGTCACGGTATTAATACTATCGATTGCATTCAATTTAGACATGAGGCGCGCGCACAGACATATGTTCACCGTATGTTCGTATGGAAGCAACTCCAGAGAATCAAAATACAGTATTTTTCTACGAAATGAAAATATATCTCCATTAAGCTTCTAATTGAATAGCTATTTCCAAAAACCTCAAGTATAACACGATATATTAATTGAATAATTGAAGCTTGTTTTACTAATTGACGAACGAATCAATAAAGGTAATTGACCTGCTAAATGTGCTGAGAGCTTTGCAATAGTTGAGTGTCGTATTTTTCACTTACTGGGATTACCTTACATCTTTTACTAATGCATAAATGTTGTATTTCATGAGATATGTATATAAAAGTAACTTTTGTCACCCGATTATATAGATTATAGGCATGTTGTAGCTCATGCACGCTGGATCATAACTGCCTCAGTTCGCCTGGAAAATCACTCTAGCTTGAGTCAAGCTACAGATGCTCGGAGTAATGTACAGAAATACGGATTGCTATAAACTATCCGTCCCAAATGAAACAACTGGGGCTTCCTGAGAAATTGAAAAAAAAAGTATAAGAATGAAAAGCGGAAAATCAAAAAGAAGAAACTTAATGACATCATAAGAATAAAATGAGAAAAAAAAAACGGAAAATTGAAATGAAGAAACATTAAATAACATCATTAGAAAAGAAAAAAGAAAAAAGCGGAAAAATTAAAATGAAGATCGCAAACGTAKGCTTGACAGAATACAGGTGTGAAACAAGAATATAGAAGAGAAAAACATGGAGCAAGAACACTTTTTTATGAGCAGATTGTGATCAACAGCGTGTTGAACATATTCCAAAGAAACCTTATCTCTATTGCATGATGATCKAGACTTATTCCTACCACCGCAGTTATCGATATGCGGGTTTTCGGCGCCAATGATTAACTTCTTAACGATCAGCAACGACGCACAAGAGGCACATCATATACACTGGGATAATCTGCTATTCCTTCACAACTTCCTTATTACAATAAATCATTTTKKTWWTYYTTT